AGTATATTTTATATTACATATAAACGAAGCATATTTTATATTACAGATAAACCAAGAATATTTTATATTACAGATAAACGAAGCATATTTTATATTTCTGTTGTTAGATAAACCAAGTATATTTTATATTACATATAAACCAAGTATATTTTATATTACAGATAAATGAAGTGTATTTTATATTTCTGTTGTCAGACAACCAAGTATATTTTATATTACAGATAAACGGAGTATATTTTATATTACATATAAACGAAGTATATTTTATATTTCTATTGTTAGATAAACCAAGCATATTTTATATTACAGATAAACGAAGTGTATTTTATATTACAGATAAACCAAGCATATTTTATATTACAGATAAACGAAGTATATTTTATATTTCTATTGTTAGATAAACCAAGTGTAAAGATAGAACCTGAAGTATCTGGTAACTATAAAATAATAGAAGGTAATACAGTAGAATTAAAGTGTATTGTAACTGATGCTAATCCTAATGGTAGTTTGAGTTATAAATGGTATAAAGATACAACAACTACTCCTACAGGACAAGTTGGTTCTACAGTTCAAATATCACAGAAAGGAATATATACATGTTCTGTTTCTAATGGAATTGGTACACCAGGAATATCAGATTCTATTACTATAGATGTTTTATTTCTACCAAGAGTTACCCTGATACCACAATATAGTATTATAGAATCTAATACCCTCACTATACCCTGTATAGCTACATCTAATCCTGTACCTAATAATTATACTTGGTCCGGACCTAATAACCTGTTCCAATCTCAACAGAATTTAACTATATCTAGTATCAATAGAGATCAAACAGGACAATATACATGTACAGTTAGTAATATCATGATACCAACTACTGGTGGACAACAAACTAGTATGGTAACTGATGATACATTCGTTACAGTTTTGTGTAAGTGTTAATGTTTTCTTTGATGATATCCAATCATTTGCATAATTTTATGTACTTTCAACAATCAAATATTTATACTTTTTTTCTTTCTGACAAGAGAAAGAGTTATAGAAGATGTTAATGTATATGGACAGGTTTTAGTTTTTGTTATTTTTTTTCGATTTTAAATTATGATTCCAAAATCGGAGAGAAATACACTTATTGCCGTTTTGTTTTGTTCCTCGATAAACCAACATGATACATTTTTTTCTCTATGCCTAATTTACTACCTTTTAAAAAATACTTCATTTAGCTGCACCAAATCTGCCTAGTACCATAACCATTCAACCGCCACAATCCATAATTTGTGTTGAGTGGACACCAGGATTTAATGGAGGAGCATCACAAAGTTTTATAGTTCAACATTCTACTGATGATAAAATATGGGTCAATTCGTCCACAATACCAAATGGTATCAATAATGACCGAGTTGACTATTGTA